GAGAGAGAGAGAGAGAGAGAGAGAGAGAGATTGAGAGAGAGAGGAAGAATCCCAAGCAGACTCCATACTGTTAATGCAAAGCCTGGGCTGGAACCCACGAACCTGGAATTATGACCTGAGCTGAGATCAAGAGTCGGACCCTCAACTGACGGAGCCACCCAATCGTTACAAGGGGACATCACTCTTGGAGGGAGGGAGGGCCCTGCGTGAGTGGGGGACAGTGGGCAGCTGAACCTTGTGGGGTTGAGTGACTGCCAGAGGCCGGGACTAGCTGGGAAAAGGGATGTGGTGGACAGAGGGGGATGCGGGCCATCGACCTCTGGAGGACTGTGGTTTCTGGAACGACAAGGTCCCGGGTGCAGCTGGCTGTGAGTGGGTGGAATCAGGTTCAGGTCAAAGTGATGGAGGGGTTTGAGGTTTAATGTCACAACGTTCTTGAGGAGACCTGCTTGGGGACACCTGGCATCTTTCTATTTGTTTTCTGAGCTGATTGATCTCTGGTCAACATGCCTGAGTTGGGTTTAACAGCTGTATTGGAATCACCCAGGTGGGGCCATGTCGGTGGGCCACGTCTAATTGGTGACAGACGGTCAAGATTGTTATCTGCGGAAAATGCTCTGTATTCCGCCCTGGGGAGCTACGTGAGCTCTTTCCGGGCCAGGATGGAAAGGTTGTAAATAATGACACAGACAGGACACATTTACTTAAGCATCCGACAAGCAGATCCTTGGGGTTTCACCCAAGTGTCTTTGCTTAGGCTTCTGGAACTTTCAGAACCGGATGGTTCTTGCTCAACTGTGCGGAACCCTTATGATTCCTCTGGCGTCCAGCCTCCTGTCTGACTGCATGCTGGCGAGCTGGGAGTGGGAAGGATGCTCGCAGCTTAGCGGGCAGGGAATCCTTGGGCTGGGGCCAGGCTTGGGGAAGAAAGAACACGATGGAAGAAGGTGAGGAGGGGGTGAGTGTCTGCCGAGTTAATAGGGTGCCATGGCGGAGGGGGAAAGAGGAGACCGCAGAAGGAGGTGAAACTTTGCAGGGGGAGGCCTTCCGGGCCCCGGGCGTCTGGGATCCGGAGCCCCGCGGGAGGGCATCGACGGCTGACCCTGACACGAATGGACTCTGACAGTTCATACTTAGCTTGTGGCATTTCACGGGAACTTCCCGACTCCTGAGTCAGGAAGGCAGGTGGATACTGACGTGGGGCCAGGGGGCCCCGACTCAGAGGCCTTCCCCGGACCACCCTGTGGTGCATGGTGGAGCGGGACCTCCACTTTGCTCCTTCTGACCCCAGCAGTGCACACTCTGGTGGAAATGCTGGCCCCTCGGCAGAGGGCACGGTGACATGAAGAGAGATACCTTGTCCGGAGAGGAGACGAGTCTCTCCTGAAGACGGTACTTGGTGGACCCCTGCTGGGCAGGCCTCGCACGGGGCCCGTCGGGCGTGATTTCCCCGGAGCCTCAGGAAGGCCGGTGCCTCCGCGTCCGGACTCTGGAGCGCACGACGCTTCCAGGCCTCCTCCGCGTCCTTGCTCGTCCTCATTTGTGGGGTGCCGTCCGCCTTGGAGCTGCGAGGTGTCGAGGGGGAAGAGTGAGGGCTCTGCTCTTGTTTCAGAACCCTGCGGGACGTGGAGTTAACGCCGCATCGGCACAAACAGACCCGCGTGCTCTCCGGAGGCATGAAGAGGAAGCTGGCCATCGGCATCGCCTTCATCGGTGCATCGGGGACCGTGGTTCTGGACGAGCCGACCAGCGGGGTGGACCCCTGCTCCCGCCGCAGCATCTGGGACATTCTTCTCAAGTACCGAGAAGGTAGGAATGGGGCCATGGCACTGTCTTCCAGGGACACTGTGGCGTGGGCAGAGCAAGGAAGGCCTTTTTCTGTGAGGGGCCGGGTCATCCCCCCGGGGGGACACATGACCTTTGCCAGAAGAAGCAGCTGTCACGAGAGCCGACAGAGATCTGTCTGTGATACGGCATCTCTGTAGTGCCTGGGATCACTTCCTTTGAGTCCCATCTTCCCAACTGACTTCGCGATGGGGTTATCAATGCAGGCTGTATGTGATTTCAATGAAGACTGTACTCCTCTCGGGGCGCCCGGGGGGCTCAGTCGGTTGAACGACCAACTCTTGATTTTGGCTCAAGTCATGATCCCAGGTTGTGGGATGGAACCCTGCGTCGGGCTCTGCACTGGGCGTAGAGCCTGCCTGGGATTCTGTCTCTGTCCCTCTCCTCCCCGACCTGCTCTGTCTCTCTCTCTCTATAAAAAGAAAATTGAGCTCCTCTGAATTGTGTGCCATCGTGGAATCCTAGGTGATTAGAGCAGGTGTCCTTGCTGTGACGTAGGATGAGCCCTCCTTTCCTCGGGTGAGGAAACCGGGGTATGCAGAGATGGGCATGGGGTTTGCTCACAGCTATAGAGGGGGCTCGGGGAGCCCGGGTGGCTGGGGACTCTGGGCTGAGGGGTCCCTGTATCACCTGTTTTGTCCTGGGTTTCCAGTTTAGGGCGTGGGATGGGCAGATACTCACTCCCCACCTGGGACTCCTTCTGTGATCCTGACAGCCTCGGAGCATTGTCCCGGTATTTCACACAGAAACACACCAGTCGGGAAGGAAGCAGGGGGAACAGGGTGACTTAGCTTGTGACTATGGAGTCTGGAGAAACTCTGCTTTGCTTTTCTCTCTTCCCTTTTGAGTACAAGACCTGACTTGACCTGAGCCTTCTCCTCCCTGGGGGAGATTAGGATTTGCTGCTTAAGAAATACACAGAGCGGGGGCACCTGGGGGGGCTCAGGCGCTGAAGCGTC